TGTTCTGTGTGATTTAAAGGATCTCACAATGAAAAGATTTATTATTAAATTAGTAGTAAAAAGTAACAAAGCACATTTACTTAAATACTGTATTTAAGAACAACTTAGAGATATTTGTACTTTACTTTATACTTCTACTCCACTACATTTCAGAGGGAAGCATTGTGCTTTTTTTTATTCAATAGCATAAATTCAAATTAGTTCGATTTTACATACAAAACATATGATCAACTTAATCATCAAGTTAACCATGTGTTTACTGCAACCTTAGTGGAGCGTTACAGTTTGATGCGTTAGAAATGTGACGCTAATGGGTCCTGACTAAGCGTCATCATGTGATGAGTTGGGAATGAGAGTGGGTTGGGAATTTCTACTTTTACTTAAGCAAATAATCGGAGTACTTCTTCCACCACAGCCATATTTTAACATGGAAGTAGAAACATAATCTACAAGGATTCTTTCTTTCTTATGCACAGAGCCTCACAATCACACAAACCTGCAGGTAGTGATGGAGCTGTTGAACCAGGAAGGGCTTTCCCCGTCATCAGGCTTGTTGGCCAGTGGGAACGCAGAGATGTTAAACACAGACAGGCTGTTGTTTATGTAGCCTTTCATATTCATCTCACCGTCTGGCTGGTAGGCGTACATGTACACAAGCCGAGGGATCATATCGGAGGTGAAGGCCACAATAAACGCCTAGAAAGCAGGGAAAGAAACGGTGTGAGGAAAACTAGAGATACAACTAGGTAGATAATGAGCAGACGCAAAGCACACAGATGTTGTCGAGCACTCACATTTGTGACCACAGAGAGTACGGCCATCCCATTGAGGATTTCCTGCCAGGCTCCGATGCTGTGAGCCTTTGCTGCCACAGGACGTCTGAATTGAGTGGTGAGCTTCCAGGCATCCACTCTAACCTCGATGATGTTGTTGATAAGTGCCAGCAGGGGTGCCAGTGGAAAGGAGGCGACGAACAGTGTGATGAAACCAAACTGGATCACTGGGACACAAAGAGAGAGGTTAGTGAAAGACAGTAAAATGGAAACAGCACCATCTACAGAATCTCAGCAGACACTGCATCTATCCATCCATACATCCATCAGTCGATCTATCTGTCTATCTATCTGTTTGTCTTGGTTTTGTTGTAGGCCTGGTCTGAACTGAAACTGGACTTCACTAAAATGGTCTTGAATACCTTCAAGTGTGTCTTTATATCTTGTTCTTTGTGTAATGGATTGACTATGCAGTGAATGTTTACCCATTTCCAAGTACTCGTAGAAGAGGCCCAGCTGTCCAAAGCACTGCAGGTCGTGGTCCTGCTCCCAGCGGCTGTACAGACTCTCTGGGTGGTTTCGTGCCTTCCTGCTGCCCCACCAGTTCATCAGCCACCTGAAGGACACAAGAGGGCGATAGAGAGCTGTGAGAGTTCCCCTTCGAACAGCCATATTGAAGGCTCTCATATTGTACAATTGTAAATATTATGAAGAGATGACTCAGTTTCTAAACATAGCACCCGTTTATCTGAACTGAGCATAACAGTCTAGGTTTATTTCTGTATTCGTTTAGAATGGAAACAGATTATGCAGCCACTGATAACAGGCCTTTTCAAAGCAGACATTTGGACTTCTCATGGTAGCAAAAGCACAGATGTAAGTAATTAACATTAACGATGGCTCTGATGCCGTTATTACATTACTTTGAGTACTTTTCTAAATCATCTTGCAGGAGGAACTAACTGACAATTTTTTGAAAATCTAAAAAGAAACAACTCCTACGCTGACTTCTAAAAAGATCAATGATATCAAAATATAAAACAAAGCCCCAGCCATGGTTGATGTATCTATGAGTTATGTGGTGTAACTGCAAAGCCTGTAAAGACTGTGTGAATTTACCCCCCTTGTATCTTTTCTTGTGCTTTGAATGGTCGGTTTAGTTTTACTCACGGGACCAGAGCCTCCTGGATGTTGCCCCACACCTGTTTACCAGTCATCACTATCACCAGCTGGGTGGTCAACTCAATCAAACAGCCCCCAGGGTCACACTGGATGTAGACAGGTAAATGGGAAAGAAACAAACAATAAAGATCCAAGTCGAATAACCGGGGTTGATCCTATAGAATGTAATGTAGTTATATCTCTACCTCTTCATTCCTCAGTTTGCTGCCAAACATATACTCATAATCTCCAGGAAAGCCGACAAACTTTCCCTTAAAGAAAGCCACGTAGAAGCAGGAGGAGTAGTAGTTTACAAACTGGAAGAGGAACATCTTCACCGTCAGTTTGTTCTCATACTCCAGGTGGGTCTTGGGAATCTCTGCCACATTGTAAAAGATGATAACATATAGATTTTGAATACATAAACGAAAAAGGGAAGACATTTCACACTTGTGAAATGCATAGTGGATACATAAAGACACAGAAGTTTAATAATGTTGGACATGCTCTCTCACTCTGACCCTCACCCATGTCAGTGATCCAAACAGCCACTCTCTCATACATGAGGTTGAGGATCATGATGATAACAAAGTTGATGCAGGAGGCTGTGACAGAAGTGGCCAGCTGTGGCGTGATGTAAGGGCCAACCACCTGTAGGTGGCTGGTGGCACTGTCCTTCATGATGCTGGCGAAGGCTGCGTATACCGCCAGGCGGTACGCAATCACCCCAATGATGCAGGCAATGATCAATGAGATCTTCAGGACGGAGACAACAGAAACAACATGAAAGACAACTACATGGCACAAGACAAAAGTACAGTACACAGAGAACACCATACAAACTGTGACGCAAGTGCAAAAAACATTTAGACATATGAATAAAAGAAGGTGAATTATTGCAAACATACATGTTAGGAGGAACTGTCATGCTTAAAGTGTGCACACATGTCCCATGAAAAGAAGTATCCAATACTCTTCTTAGCTCATGCACATGTTACAGATGTTTACTAAGAGTCAGTACAGTAATACTCTGGGCCAAAATGTTTAAAACTGCAAGACTTTGGTCCTATAGGTCATATTTCTAAGAATCACATAATTTTACTCATATTTTTAGAATTTAAAGTAAGTGACATAAATATAAACTATTCTGACTTGGTCTCAGCTCCCACATTTTTCTTAGGAGTTTTATACATACTGGCCCTGGTCACATGATACTAGTGATGATGATGATGATAATGACCAGTATGATGAGAAAGACAAAAAGACACAGGGTGAAGAAGCAGGTAGAGGATGAAAGTCGTTTAGAGTCATCAAATGTACCAAAGGTACAATGCTCACCCATAACAGGACCGTGGCTCCAGACAGACATGTGCGTGCACACTTGCTTGTTATGGGTAAGTATGGTTCCATTTCCTATATCACAAGCAAGCAAAGCATGGACACAGGAGTCAGTCACCCTTTGTTATATCCTGAAAAGACAGCTCTAAAAGAGGCCAGGCTCCTTTAATTACCACTAACTGGCCCCAGATGCAAGGCAGAGCGCGGTCGCCCAATTACAGCTTTTTGTGTGTGGGTGTTTCGGTCCAAGTCCAATTCTTTCATCTAGCGGTCTCCTGGTGAAGCCGGCCTTTCAAGATACTGATCCACCAGACAAACAATAATGCAGTACAAAAGGAAACTCGTGCCTCTGAGTCTTTCCAGAAATGCCTCTTACCTACACAAACTACGCCACACCAAAACCAATTCCTCACCAATGTGGCATTCCATGTTAGGTGCCATCCTTACCCAGAGTGTCACTGTGGCCCAGCACAGCAACAACTTCCCCATTAAATCTGTTGCAGTCCTGTGAAGAACCCACTCTGTTTCCTAAAGGTGGGTGGGATGTGGTCAAGGCAAATAATAGCACCCTGCTTCTGTTCATTTTACACATCTGTGTCTGTCACTATCCACAACTATGTGCTCCTGACCCCCGAAAACGCAGATGGTGAATTTTCAGTAATATTGTCAATCAAAAACTCTCCATTTACAAGAGTTTTTTAGTTCGTGAATGACTCCAACCAACTGAAAAGTTTTAAAATCAATAAAACAGTTTCTGTAATCTGACCAAGCCTACCAATCAGTATGTGTGTCTGGTAACACCTTGTGGAAGCTAAGCAGACCTAAAGCTAAAAGTATTAAACAGCATATTAGTATTTAATAAGCACACAAACACCTGAGTGATGCGGTTCAGCTTTCGGTTGGTGCACTTGGATTCGTACTCTGGCCGAAGCTGAAGCTGCTGTTGTTCCTCCTCAAAGTCGACCAGATCCCATTCGTACTCGAGACGAGCCTGCCGCCTCTTCCAGAACTCCAGAAACAGCGTCACTATAGAGCATACGGCGCAAAAATTTTAATTTTTCAGTGCTTTGACCACCATTGACCTCCATCTTATTGGTGTGATTGCAAAAGTAGCAGATCTCAGCACCTCAGTAGATGAAAATTAAGCGAGAACTTTTTTTTTGTGATTTGGGTCATTTAAATACAGAGTGAGTAACTGTGATTTAAATTCATCAGCTCCCACTAGGTGGTGCACTGGGTTAGAAATTACAAAATGCAGAGAGCAGACATTTTTACTCACCCCAAATCCCCATAAATATGGCGAAAAACACTGTCCCCACATTGTCAAATAGGTGCGATTGCTGAAAGAAGAACATGTTGGAGAAATAATGAGATAATGAATAACGGATTTTTTGACATTTAGCTGCAACCACCCTTTAAATGTCACATATTGTAGGTAGAACATAATTCATGATGAACAAAAACAGTCACAAAGCCAAGATGTCTCACCCATGAGGAGTTGCATGTTGTGTTGAGTTTCCAGTAGCCACATTTCTTGTCACACAACGGGCACATGACAATATGCCCCCCGACCTGCTCACTACATATTTCTTTACTGTAGGGCAACGAGACAAACAAGGAGATTGGTCATAAACTAATAGCTAATAAAACAATGACACCTGGAAGACCTACAAAACAGGTTATTAAAAAAAAAAAATCACCTCCAATCGTTGTCATCGTAAGTGAGTAATCCATAGATGAAACAAATCGTTCCAACTATTGCAGCAAACAACAGCATCTCAGTGTAGAAGCCCAGCCACGCAAAATAAATACCTATCTTCTCCCCATAATACTTCCTGTTGAAGGGAAAAACAACATGTTTGCAGTAAATATTTAATTAAAGAAATAATATGAAAGATTTAGATTTCTGCTAAGTCACATCTAATACCAAATGAGGTAACACTATAGGGATTGGGCATATGGCCAATTGATGAAAGCCCTTGCATTTGCATTATAACAAACTGGACGTCTGTGGCAATATAACCAAAAATAATCACAGGTGACTCTGTGTATCAGGGAAGTGGGAGCAAAAAACAGACCTACAATTACCACTTATCACCATACTGCCAAAAGTTGGTACTGCCAAATTTAAAGAAACAGAAATCTTCGAGATTGTAACTTTAACATCAGATGTGAGTACTCTGTTTTAAAGTCTTACCTTATAAGATTGAGGGGCTGCTCCTTGAAGAAACAGAAGAATCTGGCCCAGTGTTTGTGGAGATTGTATCTGTCACTTTCGCAGTTAGCATCCTTCGATCTTGACCAGTATCTACACTGCTCGCACAATTGAAACACAGTCACATTGCAAAGTTATTCATCCTCGCAAATGCCATATCCAACACTGCCTCCAACAAGAGGTTACTGTGGAAAAGTAATGAGTGCAAATTTCATTAAAGTCTCTGTCTTTTTCCAATGACAAAAAAAAAAAAGAAATTAAAAATAAAAAAAAATAAAGGAGGTGAATGTTCACCAAAAGAGGCTCACATCATGCAGGGGGAAGGCAGCAGTGTAGGTGCCATTGTTGAGCAACCTCTTGATCCCCTTCTTGTCTTTATCTCCACATTCATCCCTGAAGTACGAACAGCGGGACAGGATGTAGTAGAGCTGGGCACAGGGAGATATAGGATATAAGGGTATAGTTTTGTTGGATACAAACAGAATGATAAAGTTGCTTCTGTATTCACAATAGCTTAAGATAATGGACATTAAATTCCTCACAGCAGATATAACTAAATTTATAGGTTAGTCATTAAAATAAGCCTTTTAAAAATGCAACACACGTGGAGGCCTGCACACAGAACTGCAGCGTCTGTAGTATTTAATATTGCAAATTCAGATTGGATGTGAATGTCAAGGGAAATTTTTTAATTTAAAATTCACAAACAAGATAAAAAAGTATCCTTACTATCCTGTTGCGAGTAGAAGGCGAGAAGAACGTATCTTTGTTGTCGATAAGGAAGAAGTCAGACTTGCTCTTGTCAAAGGGAGCTGTGAAATAGTCTGGCTGGGGGTGCATGATGTGCTCCGGCAGACGGAAAGGGGTGGACAGCCAGTTCATCGGCGTGTCGCTGTTGTCTGGGATGTCGTTGGCCTTGAATGGGACCTTAACCTTCAGCACATCTGCGTAGGTGGCCAACACTTCCCATGGAGCGTGGATCTTCACAAAGTAAGTCTTTCCATCGTCTGACTCCTGATGTGAGACAGGTGTCACAGTATAAGGAGTGTAGGGCAACTGATTCATAAACTAAAATATAAGTTCAGTTTTTACAGGTCATATGTAAAAGACACTTTTGTACTGGTTTATTGTTTTACCGCAATTATTGTCTTTGTAAAAACAATGAATAAATAAAATACACATATACATACATATACCCCTCTTTGTGAGCCACCTAATTTCCTTTTACATTAGACATAATCAAATAAATAATTGGATGCTCTTACCGATTTATCTTCTGTCTCCAGCTCCAGGCCGACGTTCACTAGATTGGCCTCATACAGCCTTCTCCTCTCCTTAAGAGGGACACAAAGCATATATGCATATATTTATTAGTTTGATTCCTTTACTGCCATTGCACAACAGTGACATCTCTAAATTGCCCGTATAGGTTGCATGTGAGCGAGAATGGTTGTCTGTCTCTATGTGTCAGCCCTGCGATAGTCTGGCAACCTGTCTTCACCCAATGTCAGCTGGGATCAGCTCCAGCCCCCCTGTGACGCTGAACAGGATAAGTGGGTAAAGATGATGGATGGAAGGATGTGGATCACATTGTATGACGCACAACTGAGAATATACAACTGAAATAAGGTTCAATCATGTCAATGTATGTAAATCAAGCCAAAAAACAAACAAACGTGAAACAAAAGTAAACATGGAATCACAGTCATTGCAGCAGGTGTGAAAATGGTACAAAATAATTACACAACTACTGTTAAAACAGTTGTGGACAAGACAGGACATAAGATAAGATTCCATAGGGCACCTGGAATTAGGTTTAATGTCTTCAGAAGTAGGCACAATTGTCCATATCATCAATAATTCAAACAAAATAATGTACTTCCTTGTTAGAGCTGAGATTTACCATCACATTTTACAACACATGTGGATTCTAGACAGGAACTGGCTTCCTGTCTGCCCTTCCTCATACAGTGGAACAAATGAGAGAGTTCCTGACCAGCACAGAGGTCTGAGTGTTGACTCACTGACGAGGAAAAATGTGAGTCGGCTGTGACACACTTCCACATAGCCGAGTGGTAACACAGAGATGTGAAGACTAACAGCCCAGTATCAAACACAAGTCTCTCTGCACCCAACAGTTGACAACACACAAAAACACATCTGGCCAGCTGCAGTTTGGAAATACTATAATGCAGTTTTACTAAAGGAAAAAGTGTCTGCCAGTCTATCTCTAGATTTGACCTTCTCAGAAAATTCCTTGAGAGGATTACTTCCACAAGCTGAGAATAACAGTTTATCTAACGTTATCAGTGTTGTGGTTTTTGGGGCATGCTGCTGACACACACAGTGAACTTTGAGTGAACTTTGACATCCTGTGAGAAACAGCTCTCACTGTGTAAATCAAAAAGTGGAAATAACATCAGCTGTTCTTTTGTGGGATATTTTAGAATTTCAAGATACTCAACTCTGGAATAAATACAACAATAACACTGAATCAAGAAATAATCGTCAGTTATTACAAGAAGGCTAATATTTTGGACATACAGTCTTAGAAGTTGTTTCTTACCTGTTTTCTCTCACCATCTTTATCGTCTACATAGGACAGGACAAAATCAATCATACGCACTCCATCCCGGAAGAACACAGATTCTTTGCTCTGTTGTTGTTTGTCAATCTATAAACGAGATGGAACAGAGTTATCAGCATTTAAACACACACGTACAGCATCAGCTCAGCAAGTATTTGGACGCATTCAAACACAGCAGAGCAGACAGTGAGACCATTTATGTGTCAGTAGCTAAAAGCAAAACCCAGAGAACGATGCCGCCACACCACTTCACACTCGACTGTTTTTTAAAAACATAAAATACAGATTATTATATTTTCACTCCAAACACAAACAGTATGCTAAATGAAGGGGTACTGCTAAGATGTTTCATGCCGATCATGTCCCTTTTATATGATTTACTGAAGATGAGAATAGGCATTAACATAAATCTTTGTTGTATAACATGAAGAAATCTATGAAATAGAATGATTTGATTTCAGGTTATCTGATCTCATTGAACACTACCTCAGGTTACATGTCATAGCAAAGGATATGTGGAAAGGACAACAAATTCACAACTACCGCTCTCTACACACAACAGGGACATCCAGCATCCATATCGGGCTTAACACACCAACACTGTGGCAGTTTACTTGCTTTTCTGTAAATCCTTCAAGCCATAGCGTCTAAAACCTGTATTGGTGGCTAAAGAAATTCCCAAAATGTGCTAGCCAGTAAATGCTAGCCTTTCAGCAGCCACGGGGCAGAAGAGAATGCTTTAAGAGAGGAAAGGAGGGCATGCTGCTAGTTCTGCTTCAGCTGTTCAGAGAGCTAAATATAACCGACAGTTACTTCTGTCATTACTATAGTAGATATACCTACATTGCACTGCAGCCAATTTAAAGCACTCAACGTTTAGCATCACAAAAAACATTGCACTGTACTGTAGTTCTGACTGAGCTGGCCCCGTCCATCAGCTGCGAGGGTAGGGAGGAAAGGAAGACCACTTTACCTCCATGACCCACTCCCTTTACGGCTATGATGCATCAGCGGAAAGGCTGGCTGTCTGATAGGGCAAAATTGCCTTTCTCCAGGGAGCGCGATCCAGCCCTGAAAGCCCTGTTTCTCTCACTCTCACTCCACTGATCCCCGGCCAGAGGAGTTCCATCTAGTCCACCCACCTCCCTAAACAAGCCCTCACTTGCTCAGACATCTAGCAAAGAGAGAGAGAGAGAGACGAGGAGGGATGCTAGGAGAGAAGTAGAGGAGACTCCTAGAGATGACATCAGCACAGGGACAGCATAGCGGATGCCAGCTAGCTAACTAATGTAATGAGAGCACAGCATCAGGGGAGGTGATATCACTGTACTGTACAACACTGACCATCAGGGGAGCAAAAGTCCCTCAAACACGCCATGTAATATTTCAGATAAGCTAAATTCTAGCTGAAAAGCTAACTGACCACATGAGGAAATCAGCTCTGATAAGAGCGAATTACTGAACAACACAACGGATAACTCTCCCCAGTCCCCAGTCCGAGCTGAATGTTTGAAACTAATCAATCAAACAATCCAGAGACCTTACTACAATGGTGCAAAGTGCAAATGGGACACTATCAGTGGTAAATGCATGCTTCAGACAAGTAGTGATATATACTGTTATTGAGACAGCTGTTAAACAGCTGGATCTTTCACCCTGATTCCTACTATACCAACTTATAAAACAATTCCTGTCTACGTGTTCAATCTTCTTTTACTGTTTTCTTATCCCAATACGTTGTAACGTCTGCTCTGCACTACCTCCCAGACTAGATTGGACCATGTTGACCATGGCAGGGTGGGTGCTTTCTTTAACTGGGACGTCGCTGCAAAAACTCTCAAATTTGCTGTAATTACAGATGTATGGAATGAGTGCGTCTGCTGGGACCTGCTTCTGCTCAGTAAAGCTGGCAGAGGCCACACAGCTCTATACATTTACCAGCTAACCTCTAAGTACTGGGTGTTTAGACATGTGTGTCTTCTATCTTAATTAAGGAGGGTAAATGCAGAACATGCATAAGATGAATAGACTTCTTATTTCAGGGAGGGGTTTCTCTAAAATATCACTGTCAAAACATTTCTGTTTTAGGATAAAATAGTTCTTCTAACAGAACTTCAATGAACTGGTCACCTCTTTAAATATATCACAGCTGATATCATAATCATAATTTAGAAACTTCTCTAGCTTCCTTTTCTACACTTCGACGTCTAAAGTAAAGTAATGCACTGTGATAAGTGCCACAAAACCTAATGGCAAGGTTGCAATTCTCTTCTCTTTTTTTTGGTATATAATTTCAACAGAAGAACAGAACAGAGTTCTGTATTGTTAGACACATTTAGTTTATGGTTGCCTGTAGAACTCTGGGTTGTTTCCTCGGTGCAATCCTGAGACTTGCTCTAAACACAGAGAAGATTGTGTTGTTTTTTTTCCAGAGCTAAAAAAAGGTAAAATGAATATGCAGGAAAATGTATCTGGTTCAGTGCGCGTCTCTAAGAGTTCACGATGAAAACCCTGCTGAAAGGTTGCATGCAGCTGAAACTTCTTGTAAGAGGAGGACTTTACACTCAGCTTTTGTTTCCATTCTTCATTATAGAGGCAGTTGATAGATGTGCAGCTGGCTCCCTCTAAAACTCCTTCATGCGATCTTTCACTCGGCTAAATTGCAGCATTTATTCGGAGGAAGCCTGATTATTAGAAATGCTTATGGCCGGTTTTTTTTCTTAGAGTAGCAGCTGTTAAAAAAGAGGTAATGATTCCACTTTGAATCAAAATGGTTTTAACACTGTTTAAACAAGACCACATGTTAGAGGATTCAAAAGAAGAAGCCGACGGTACACTTTAAGGTTAGTTAGCCACAGCCGAGTCCAATCCTGTCATGAGCACAGGGCAGGGCCATGATTACAGTATAGACTGTATATACTTAAAGTACACAAGCACACAAGCACACATACTGTATATGCGCACACACAGAAACAGCTAGGCAAATGACAAATGCGATACATGTGCAAATGGGCACTTTTTAATTATGCTGTAACACCACCAGGCTGTTGATTTCTCTTCAGTGAAGCGGGCGGTTATCACAGGTGAGAACAAAGCAAGGGAAAAGGACTTTTCCATTTTTAATGAACTCTTATGATGCATCAACCCACCACTCATGCCAGCATGTTTCCATTACTCTTTGCAGCCAAAAAAAAAAAAACTTGCTCTCTAGAAGCCACCATCAGCTCTCTACAAAGAAATGGGTTATTGATTTCATCTCTTATGTCCAAGCGTTTTTCTCTGACTAATGACGGTGGAGAAACTCAACACTGAACAAACATTTCTCAAGAAGGAAATAAAGGCTGGCAGGCAGAAATATGCATAAATTTGGATAGCATCACATCACAAGCCTGTTTTACCATGCCATACCCTGGAGCGAAACTTCAGGAATAGCGCCCGCTTTCTCGAGAGCTGTGGAGGAACCGATTGGATAGTGAGGGAAAGCCTAACAACACAACAAATTCAACAAAATACAGCTAAAACTGTATTTTTACCGTTTATTTGGCGATCAAAGTGTCACATACTCAACACGCGCGTTACGTTAACACATCATTACAGATGATGTCAAAAAACACTTCATAACTGTTATAAGTAAAGTTGCGTCTTGCTCAGTTACAGGTTTGAGTTCAGAGGTGATGTAAAATGACACAAACAAGCACACTGACACAGCGGCATGCATCTGTGCCCCCGACTGGTGTCTTACCCCAGTCAAATCACTGATTCGCTCTGAGGTCTGAGGATCAGACTGTGGACTGTCGCTGTAGTCAGAGGGGGACAGGGAGGCCAGGCTGGTGTTGAGAGACTCACAAGTCTCTACACACACATCGGTTCTTAAAGGAGACTTTAAGTACAGTGTGATAGGGTGGGGGGACAGACAGGAGAAAAAGGGTTAACCCTGACTTTCTCATGGAATGTACAGGTTGTAAACTAGTAAACGTTTATTGGAAAAATTGATGTAATCTCAAAACTAAGACTATAAATTGTGGGCAAGATAGGCAAGTTAACCCTTCGACCACATGTTGGCTGTTGATTGGAGGGTGATTTACAATAAGAAAATCAGTGTGACCGATGGGGAAATCTAAAAGCATTTCACTTGTACACAATGAACTTCCCGCTACCATGTTTTTAGGAGGTGAAGATGTGATATTGTTCGACAGAAATCTTTAATTTATTTGTCTTGGGAAGCCACGGTTAACTCAAATGAACAATGGAGTGCGTAGATCAGCGATGTCTGCAAACGAAAATAGTGCATGGTTGTGTGGCATGTGCGCTGTGGAGATGTTGAAGGTGCAAAACCAAAAGACAGTGATGCAGGGTGGATGGCAGCTGCAGGAAGGGTGAGACCGAGTTAACACATGGCTTTTATATGCTGGAAGGCCCAGATGAGCTTGCTCAAGCTGACGACCCTCACTTGTCAGCCAGCTGCCTGTTGAGGTTGGCCAGGACAGCCTTCAAGACAGTGGGAGGGGCGTCACAATTAACATATGGGTACATACCGGTGATTGTCCCTGCTGGAGGGATCCTGTGCTGGATGGATCCTGTGCATGTTGGTCGTAGCCATTTAGATCATCTGCAAGACAGTAACATAAGAAACACTAAATCAGCAATAGAATTAACACTGCTAATCAGGACAGCATTCTCCTACCATTGTAGAAGAATAATAAGTAGCATATCAAAGCTCAGACAGGCAGGTTGGAGGCAGTAACGTTTCAGGCATATGAACAGCTGCCTCAGTTATTAGAGGAGCACTGACAGACAGCCAATGTTGTGGTCTATATTTGTACAGCATTTTGTGGCAGTGCTCCCAAAAGGCCAGATAGCATGACTTAACTGGATCACTGTGAAAGATTACAAACAGCCATGTTGCTACCGCTACGGGAGTGACTACAGGAAACGAAGAAGTCCGGTAAACTCCCTCCATGTGATTGAAAATGAAAGCTGCTTGTAAACAGCCATGTTGCTACCGCTACGGGAGTGACTACAGGAAACGAAGACGTCCGGTAAACTCCCTCCATGTGATTGAAAATGAAAGCTGCTTGTGTGATGACACATGCCGAAGTTCTGCTCTCACCCTCCATTCAGTGCCCGACAAAAGCAATTACAACCTTCTAGAGTACATTCAATCTGAGTACAAATATTTACAAAAACAAATAGCAGGGCAGATGGAAAAGCAAGACAAACATCAAGTGCTGGTAGCAACACTTTCGCCAAGAAATCTCAAGGTTTCAGTCTCCGTGTCTGTGTTTAAATAGAAATGCAACCGTCCTAATTGATGGTCTCTCTGAGTTATATTTAGTCTGAACTCAACACACAAAATGTGCTTACACAGACCTGAAACAAGCATTTAAACCTTGTAATATGTAAACCTTCTCTGTCTCTACATTATTACACAGTAGGTCAGCAAAGTATTAGTTAGTGGTTTGAAACAAAAATAAATTACATTTTTCAGAACTGGCATTTACCAATGCAGACCTTTATTGTTGTTATAATAAATCACAGTTTTTCCCTCAGTAACAATGCAACAACTAAAATACATTGTTAGTTATTTGTTATTTGGAATATGAAAGTGAAGCTTGCTGTTATCATTTGCATCACACAGCATGCTTATTGATACCTATATCTTTTCAGGATGTGGAGGTTTAGGGAGTACCGTTATCCACCAGCAGTGACCCTTGAAGAATCAGTTCTTTAAAATACAATTTACATGGCCACCCTTTTATGGCAGACTTTTATAGTGCTTTAACAACAACATTAAATCCAACTTCTTGTTTCATCTTCCTTAAAAACACTCGAGGATACTAACTTTGATGGATGGTTTGCTGTCATTTGTTCCAAAATATGTTTCTTTCCCAACATATGCACACAGCTGAGCATATTGTTGCACAGTTGGACTCAGCATTAGAGCACTCGGTATAAAGCGTCTCTCAGCTAAGCCAACAGTCTTTTCCCACCTCGGAAGCCTCCACAATTAAGGCATTGTTCAAGAGAGAGCAGCTGATCACAGTGGAAATGCCACAAGGCTGCTTCTGACTCTCTTTTTATTACCACAGCAACTGACCAGACTCCAGACCTCATGTACATCTATCATTTACAGCTGGGCTACATCGATACTAAAAGGGAAATCATACAACAAATAGAGCTGGTTTCTTGAAAAAACTGAGGTATGGACAAGTTTTTAGCATCTGTATAGCTGTATCAAATGTTGTACCCATAGTTTTTCAGGGTTACCTTCTGCCATCTAAGGGTGTTAAAGTAAATTCAGCAGCCTCATGTTTTCAAACTGCTTTATTTGTATATAAAACAAAACTGTGAGACTTTCACAAATCTGAAAAATCTGAAGAAATTGACTTTTTGCAGTGTTTATGCAGTCTGATTTACTATTAAATGACATTTAAAGACTCTCACATTATACATGTATTCATTTAGACTCTGATTGTGTTGGCAGTCTGGGGATATGCCAGGTAACAGTAAGACTTTCAATGAATTGTTGTTGGCCCTACCTCATACAATATGGTTAGCCATATATAGAGGCTGGTTTCCCATCAGCGGTCACCATTGTATAAACTATGCCCCGTAATATTAAAGTAATCACGATTTGGAATACTGCAGTGTGTTATCTCAACACACCATAAACACACAACACCAATGTAAGAGTAACAATAGATCACGATCCTGTAGTGATCGGCTAGGATACGATTCTCTCCATGTTGCAGATGAAACTCAACACTGGAGGGTATCCAGGGTGAATCATCCTCCACTCAGCAACACCATAAAAGGCAAAAAAAAAAACCCAATCATCTAAGCGTTTGTTTGGAATTCACAGGAGGCCAGAAGCAGAGAAGGGTTTGGGGTTTGTGCTGGTGGATAAAGAGGTGCCTGTATGTGACAGAGAGTTTCCAGTAAGCAGGCCAGCTGTCAGAGGCTGGCTGGCTGTACGTCACTGCTGCTTGCATAGAAACACAGCCAGATTATGAGCTTGTTATGGCGGGGGAAAGAGGAAATGTGCAGGTTGGGTGCGTCTTAAAATAATTTAGTTGAGCAAATGTTACTTAAATTGATTGTACAAATGTCCTGTGTATCGGTGGAGGTGGTACAGTTGTTTTTATACACTGCAATTTGCCAGCTGCCCCAGGAAGACTAAGTTAAAGTGTGCTGTTTAACTTTGTTGTCAAATGTGAAATGTTTTCGTTATGTTGTTATGGTCGTTAAAAAGTTTCAGTTCTTATAATATATTTGTCCACAATATTCTAATACAGTAATGTTTAAAGGGCTGTTGTTTTAGTGTAAAATGTGTTTAATAGTGCATGAAAACTTTGTTTAAAGTTATTCTTAACAGACTGGGGAATACCAACCTCAGTTTAGTCTTAATTGATTTCCCAGCAGGACGGTATCTAAACACTAATGGAGCACAACACAGCGATGTTTTGAATGTAAAACTACGGAACCGCAGACGGCCGACTGCCTTCGGATTTGAGCTACTCACCATTGAAAGAGTCAGTTGGGCTCATCTCTATCAAACTGTCCTCTCCGGTTTTGCCCGTTATTCTGTGCATGTTGAGTCTCTCGTGTTCGCGAGCCGTGCTTATCGGTCCTCATGTGCACCAAGATATCCCCCGACGGACGACTTCTGTCCCGCCTTCCCACGCTTTAGACTCCGAGCCGTTCTCCTTCACAGTGCTCCTCTTCAGCTCCTACACCGGGATAGTCGCCCAGGCTGCCCTCCTTCACCCACTGACCGCCGACTGCTGCATCACTCCAGCATGGAGGGAGGTCCGTGTGGGGAGTGGCTCCACACCACAAGCCAATGAGCCCAGCGGTGAACGGATACTGCAGCCTAGTCTACGTCTTATTTTAGGTTGGCCTCATGTACAACTGGACGAACACAAACGGAAAGTTCAAATAACATGTATCTACCTAACATGATAAAATACAACAATAGAAGCTAACGTCAGGTAACGGTTCTAAAACAACTGACGCATGCCAGCCAATCAGGAACGAGTATTCTCCAGCAGATGTTATCATGACACGATGACATGTCAATTAAATCAATTAAAGGCAATGTATAAAAAAACCAAGTAGACTATATTCAGTCTGTGGGTGTTATCTTTTTGACACTGTTTTGATATGCAGGGTCTTTTTTGTCACGTGGTCTTAGTAAACACGACCATAGCAGCAATTACCCACACAATATCATCTGCAATAAAAATCACATACTTTGTTGATATACTAACGATCTTGCAAATACAGACTAGGTTACAAGGACTTGTGTTTATTGGGCTGTGACGCTGTTGTCACTCTGTTCCCTTAGATAATGTATTTGCTTATAGGGATTAATTACATTTGTTAGGCAAAATGTCCAGAGTTAGAGCTTCCAGGAACTCCTTCACAACCAACCACATGAGCTTATTAACTCGTGCCTTTTCCAAAACTGTTTCATATTAAAGATCTTTAAAACTAAAGGTATTTCACCAGAGAAGATACTCAAACAGTTAAAGAAAATGTTCTGTTCCCATAGTTGGAGCGTGAATCCTCAGTGATGTTTTTAGGCTCAGTAAATAAAACATAACAGACATGTTATATTCTTTACCGAGGAGCACTTTCCAGGACTGTGTGAACTCTATATTACATCTTTCAACAATCACGCGGATGTTTATTCTAGTGTTTTGTTCTGTTTTGTCTAAAGCAGCGCGATGTTTAGCTTATCTACCCAGCCGTTCACCTCATCTGTTTGTTTCTTCTGTAACAGGGAGTTCAGGAAAGGACCCAGCAACTCTTCCCTGCTCCGCCCAGCCACCTCTCTACCCTGTTCTTCCACTCCGGTCGTATTTAGCCGCAGTGGCCCCCCTCTGTCGCCCTTCAAGTGGTTCACACAGTCCTGCTGGTGTAATTATGTCGTGCTCCTCTGCGGGGTGTGGCCGTGTACAGAAATACAGCCCCTTATTTTCGCGACCACTTTTTCTTTAGCCTCACATCGCCTCTCTTCCTCGTGTGGCTCTTCCTGGGTGTGCACTGCTTTCCAAGACTAATGGTGAAGATCATCTTTAATAACAAGGCACAGAGGGCCACCCGTTTGACATGTTAGTTTTTCTTTTTTTATATAGTCAAAGAGAGAGGATGGGAAACAGAAATAGGTCCAAGATGTGCGATAGGAATCACATGTAAGATATAGAAACACACACACACACACACACACACACACACACACACACACACACACAAGCTCATTATACGCTCACCAATATCAAGTAGGCCTACTGCATAATACTCCTATGTCACTATAATTTAAAGCAGATAAAGATTTTTAGAAATATCTTTCAGAAATATGGAAACAGCATTCAAACAGCAAGACACACATGTAGAGAAAACTACTGTGCCAGTCGTTTAACTTAGCTCTAAGGAACATTAAATATACTTTAAGTATGGAAGTTATTCATTGAGATAATTTACCTTTTAAAAGCATGATAATATTTACATCACATTACAGGATTATTACTATTCAGTGTCAAGCAGCATTGGAATGCGGTGGTTAAAAGGTGGAGTAAAGTTTGATCGTTTTAATCTGTCACACTGCATCATTGTTTAATAGGTTGGTCACATATTTTGTACTATACTGTAATAAGAGTGCAATATAGTGGATACAATTGAAATTCTCAAGTAAAGCACAAGTTACAGTACAGCTACTTTCCTCCACTAAAAAGTTAAAGTAGCAGTGGGTCAATCTTGTGCATTTTTCAATGATTAACTATTATTGTTTTATGACTTTTGTTTTGGTACTTCCTCTAAATGTGGACAAGTTTAGTTTGTTCTCAAAATATGGACATTCGATTTGCAGTAGAAGTAAAGCTGCTGAGGAAGCAACTTGGAAAGCTACTGTAAACACTAGATGAACGAGTAAGCTTTACGTTTGTTACATATTTAATAAATCAAGCTCCCACCATGGGTTATCTAATAAGGCCGGTTTATTTTGTACATGTAGTCAGATAGAATCAATTCATCTTGTGTTTGCTTATTTGCAGTTTAACTAGCTCAATGGATTCAACATTGATAATATAATATAATATTAAACACTAATGTGTATGATGAATTTAAGTTTTAATAGTTATATTCATTTATTTTGTTTGGTTTTTGGATCAGGGCTTAATTGCATATTTCTGCTGTGAATGGTGGTGGACCTGCTCAGCCTTCATTATGGACCTCGAGATGCTTTTACTGTCTTCATTTCGTGACTCAAAGTGTAGAGGTGAGGCGCTAATGTCTTTTTCACAAATGTCAATGCTGACTGACTGGTGTGTGTAGGAAGAGTCAGTCCCAGCCTGTGATTTACAGGCTGTTGAAGCCACTGCTTCCACCTAGCGGTGGATGCATGGTACATCGGTGAGGAGGAGGCAACACAAAATGTACCATTCCATTGCACCTGACTAACCGTATCGAGATTATCTCTGTCTGCCTGTAGCTGCTGAAACACAAGGTAAACCCTGTTTGTTTGTGTGTCCATTGAACGCACCGCTGGACTGACTGAACTGAGAAAACAAGGTGGAGGCGATAAAAATAAACGCTGTGACACCAGCAACAGGTAGAGTCGCTTTTACATTCCTTAGCTAGTGAGACAATCAACACGTTTGTCAGAGGAAGTACGGAAGTTGCCTTCTGCCTGTTCAAGTGCAATCATGTCATTTTATAGCTGGGCATATCGGAGAGCGGACAGAGAGGCTCTGGGATCATTGAATGGTGACTGAAGCTTTTTTTTTTTTTTTTTTATCCTGGTAGTCGCATCCGCATTCAGCGCCTACTCATCATGCCTGTCCACAGGAGGCAGGTGGGTGATTTTATTCACACATAACACATAGATTATATTGATTCAGAATGAAGCTGTTCTGAGGCAAACTGCTACTCTAACATTATGTTATGTTATGTTGACTGCCAATTCTGCACTGGTCAGACTGAATAGCCCGAACAGAGGCTTATTCCAGTGTTGGACAAGGCCCGCCTTTGCATACATCAGGACTACACCATGGTCAGGATTGAATGGGATGCTTATGTGCTTCCATTGGTATCGCGCTGTTCAGATTTGTACGTCTCGGTCTGCCACACCTTCACTGTGGTGGCAGTATAAGTGAATAGCCTGGATCGGCATGAGGGAGTCAGTATATCCACATGCCATGCGGTTCAGTCAGAAACTAACCCACTTCTCTGACAGCCACTGCAGGTGAGTCAGGATCACAACAGTGGCATTCACTGTCCCTGACACGTCATCCAACAGGAATATGTTGTAGATGATGACCTTTCTGCATATTTTCACAAGCTTTTTTATTATTATTGAAGGGACAGTTCACACTAAAATAGAAAAATGATTGATTTTTCCTTTTTACCTGTAGTGCTATTTATCAATTTAGATTGTTTTGGTATGAGTGTCCTAGTTTTTGAGATATCAGCCTGTCTTCTCTCCAATATAATGGGACTATATGGCACTTGGCTTGTGGTGCTGGAAGCGCCCAAAATACATTTGAAGAACTCAACGGCAATGATAGTTCCCAAAGGCTCACAACAAGGTCTGTGTATTATCTTTAGTACTGGGTCATGATTTCTGAAGAGACATGATGCATAGTGCGATAGAGCCCCATTATATTCAAGAGAAGGTGGACATTTCTACGGCTGATATCTCCAAAAAATACTCACACCAAAACAATCTAGCCTGATTCATAGAACTACAGGTAAATACAAATATATATATTTGTATTTGGGGGTGAACTGTCTCTTTAAATACCAGTGGAATGATGAACCCCAATTATCTCTTTATTAACGATGTGTGGAATTCAACATAACTTTGTGAATGACTTGTAATATTTTTCAATATTTTGTTGTATAGCCCAGTATTGAACTACTGGAATTCATGGGAGTGGTAAGAGAGAATGGCAATGAACAGACATCACTCCCTCCTGTGGTAAGATTTTAATGTGTCCCCTTTAATAATAAGATAACTAGTCCAGGCCACCTCCTTCCCAGATTATGATTTATCCATATTAATTCTGAAAGTCTGACTTTGCCATATGATTATTGCCACTCAGCACACGCCTCTATCATATGACTACGTCCTGGTTGCCAAAACAATTGACAAACAGGAGAGAGGCGCTTTCAAGAAGCAAACTGAATACATCGAGGAACTGAAAAAGAAGAACTTGAAAGTTACCGTAAGTCTTTAATGAAAAACAAAAAAAATTTCTGTTGGAAAGGCTTTTTTTTCATTCATCTGGTCCTAATTCATCCTATTTAGAAAATTATAGATGACGATCTCGTCTTCTATGGGATTCAAGCGCCTAAAGAAATTTTTGAGAAGTACAGGTACCTGCTCAAAGTGTCTGATGCTTGTAACTGGAGCTCGGATCAGAACATTGTACCACTCAGCACCAGGTAAAACATGCTGCCGGACAGTAGCTATTTTTTGTCATTTTAAACAATCACAAATGATAATTAAAGCATCTGTAATTGTTTGTCTGCTCCCTATAGTCTTAATACTTAATTTTTTTCCATATTGGCTCCATGAAAATGTGACTTAATTAGGTGTTTGCTGTCTCTTGCTGCATGTTCAGCTTTATAAGTGACACTAGTCCTTGTTTCAGGATAAGGATTGTCCACTTCATCTTGAATCACACCCCTATATGTTCAGGAGGTGAGAAAGACTAACTGTATTTCCAATCTCCATAGGTGACCGGTCACCTAATCTTTCATGTTATTCACTCACCTGTTGTTCTTCCCAGAGAGTTTGCGGGCTCTTATGAAGATGAAGATTTTTGAGGCAAAGTTCTGCTTGCATGAGGTAAAAATCCGAACATGCAGTATTAGCCTTGTTCTTGTACGGCATCTATGATTTATCACGATTACAGATTGCAAGAAAGTCACCATATAGGCCCCGATAATTGTGTTATTACCAGGTTTGGGACATGAACTGCAGATTATACAGATTGTATGAATAAAGAATGAAAACAGTAGACTGAATCAACACTTTCTTAAGGTCAGAATGATATCAGAATGATACGATTTAAGCAGTATCTTTTCTCCATGTGGATCCACACATCCTCATGCTCAAGATAGTGACACTATTTTCCACTGTTAAATCTCTTCCCTTCACGTGGCCACTAAAGTGTTTTGCTTTTCCCAAAGAGCATCTCAAATTATGAAGTGAAACTTGGCAGGAGCATTCCAAAACAAAACATTGCTGCCAGACAAGTATTTGTTCACAGAGACGCAATGGGCGGGATACTAATGCAGTGAGTCATTCAGAGCTGGGAGTATGTGGGCATGTGGGCGAACATACATTGACACAAACAGTGTGCGCACACGTTTCAATAGCATGTACATGTGTGTTTACTTCAACACTGTGGGAGGTGAAGACGTTGAGATTAAATGTAAATACATTTCTAAAGCTTATTCAAAATATGAAGCAGCTTTATTCGTGGATGTTTTGTAATTGCATTTATAAGCCAGTAGATAGTGTTTTTACATTGCAGTGTATGTTGTGTGTTCTTCGTGTTGGTGATTTCATTTGATTTTGATTTTTCAGAAAAAGAAACAGAGAGAGCTGAAGGAGAGCTGGGCACGATGGACAGCCTGTCTCCAAGGGCAACCCATCACTGCCGTCAGGTTTGGACTGCAACACAACAGCCTATTCATTTTCATGCTCGATTTGTACAGTAGCAGTTATTGCAGCATTATTGTTTACCATGTCATCCCCAGATAACAAGACAACAGCAAACATGTCGCCACCCACGCATGAAGCAGGCATTGTTTGGACTCATTGCTTAAACTCATGTACAGTACTTATTGCTGGTACAGGTTAGAGCGGTTGTCATTAGATTCACTGGTTTACTGAGTCCAAACAGCAGAGCACTATGCAAACATGCATTATGTCTCCAGTAATTGGATATGTGTAAGCTTCATGTCAACATGTTAACTCTGAGATTTTAGCACCCACATTGGGCCTGTCAGCAAGCAAGTGACAAGATACACTGCACATCATCACTGTCAGTCGAGTGCTTGTTGTCCTCAAGAGGCTTGAACACACTGGTTAAAAACCACATTCTGTTCTTAAATGTATGCCTCAAACAGCATGATAAGTACATTATGTGTATGACACATAAGAAACATATTATAGACATATTATTAAGAATATTTTGTACAGTATTCATGCGTTTTGTCATTTTCTCTTTCTGTGTGTGTGTTCTCATGTCAGGAACTACTTTGGGGAGAAGGTGGCCTTGTACTACCTCTGGTTGGGCTGGTACACGTATCTGCTCATCCCGCCTGCTGTCATCGGGGTCATTGTCTTCCTTTATGGCCTTGCCTTCTTCAACAGCTCACCCCTCATGTACGTTTTTCCACAGCTCCGCAGTATCTGTGTCATCATAAACTAGCATTTAGACTGTGATAGATAAAGTGATCATTGTGTTGCAGAAAGGAGGTTTGTGAGGCTGACACGGTCATGTGTCCCCTTTGTGACAAGAGATGCAAGGTGTGGCAGCTCTCCGACACCTGCACATACGCCAAGGTACATCAGTGCATTTACATTAGACGGCTGAATGGGGTATTTGTCTGTTTGTGCTCACCAATGGTCTCCTGGTCTACCTACAGGTGAGCCTGCTGTTTGATAATAATGGCACAGTGCTCTTTGCAATGTTCATGGCAGTGTGGGGTGAGTTTTGTGTGTCTATGTGACATAATTACACTTGTGTTGATAGACATAGTCATGCATTTCCAATATTCAGTTCCTTGTTTAAGATAGATTAGTGAGTCCTGCATTGCAATTTTGCTTCATAGCCAATAAAACCCATGCAGATGTATTAAAAGATCATTTAAAATCAGGATGCAGAACTCTTATCCAATACTGTTTATTCGCCTGAACACGTTTGGCTTTACAGGACAACTAGTACAAACATGCCTCTCGTTTATTTTATCCAACTGCCTGGATATTTTATGATCACTGAGATATACACTGCCAAAGAGATGCCACATCACCGAGAGAACCTACTCGTCCTGGCTTCTCACATCTTAATCAGCCCAGGCCATCTGGCCGTGGGGGTGGACAAGCATCCATCTATAAGAACATAAATGCTCTTTCACAGACTTATTCAGCTTTTTGCTTTTTGTGGATTTTTAAATATCTGTTGGATTTAGGCTAAATTAAACGTCTTAGCACAACTGTGGGAAGATGTCAAAATCAAAAGATTTTTCATCAGATGTTAAACCTTAGATGAAGACATATTTTCATACATTGAGAGAAAGATGAATTCAAAACTTATACCAAATGTCCCAAAAGTGGCAATGGGTATTACCACCACAGTGGATCTTTGTTTTCATTCCTATTTCATATTGTTGTTCCAGTAGGTTTTATGTACTCATAAAAATCCCTGATCTTCACAGCAACACTGTTTTTGGAGTTCTGGAAGAGACATCGGGCTTCCTATGTGTGCGAGTGGAAAGTGTCAGATTGGTGTGAGGAGGAGGTATGATCAGTTTTATACATGACATCCCATTTCAGTAATACCTGGTCAGTGCTCACTGGAACTATGACTGCGTATTTTTCTATTTAACTGTAGGAGGAACTGATACTGGAAATTGTGAACGACGTTAACTGTGACCCAAAAGAATACAAGCACTCCTATCTGCGCAGCACTCTGGTTTTGATCTGTGTCACAGCTATGGTGGGTGACTTGTCCTATTACGCTCTTCATATATATTCTTTAAAGGTGCTATTTATGATATTAAGTGCATTTTGATTGCCTCTCAATGGCTCTCAACATGGTGATGGCTGAGCCGGCAGCTCGCAGCTAACGGTGCTGACAGAGCTAACAGTGGTTACTACCTGAGGGGGAATTGGAGGGTGGGTCATACTCTTCCGCAACAATGCCATCGGTTGGGACGGCGTCATCAGCTGTTACTGCCATATGAGAGCAGTGCAGAGCACATGCACAAACATGCCCTAAAAGAACACTCCGCCGGCCCGGCTATGTTAACAAGGAACATAGAAGCGCAGATAACAACATACACAGAGAGTAAATTCTCTGCTCAGGGAGACATTACCTCACTATATCTTTACATAGCTAATAGTTATTTGCAGCTATATTATTGCACTGAATTCTGTATATATATTGCAACTTTAAATAGCTTGTACATCTTTAGAGCTCCGGTTGAATTAAGAATCTGATGTACGTTTGATAAGGTTCAGGTGTTGGCATGAGTATAGTATAGATATAGTGATACAAGTGAGTGTTTTTTTTTTTTTTTTTATACAGATATTGGTGATCATTGGCCTGACACACGCCTTGGTGGTGTTCAGGGTGATCACAGCAGTGCTCTTGGCTGAGGGATCATGGGAGTTCCTGAGCAACCACTCCAGCGGCGGAGCGATGATGCTGGGGGCCGTCCTCCATTACCTCATCATCACTGTCATGACACGGGTATGCAGGTCTCAGAATGTGCATCTCCTTCTCCTTTTGGTGGTATTCTCCATGAGTATGACGATGTCTTCGTCTTTGCAGATCAACAGGATTGTTGCCATGAAGCTCTGTGAAATAGGTGCGTTTACTTTACCGGTGTATTTTATATATTTTTTTATTTTTTATTTTTTCCAGTTTCCAGGCAGAATTCAATGTTAGTTTAATGGGTTTACAGTTGTCAGTGTGGTGGGTAATGAGAACAAATGCAGGGGGGCTGAAGCAGGAAGGCAGGTAATCAGAAAGGAAGCAGGTCAGACACACAGATAACAGACAGATAACAAGTAATGTCTGGAACACGACAGCAGCTACAGTTGCCCACATTCAATGTCCACTCACAGACCCTGCACATTTTGTCCCAATCTTCTAGGGAGAATTACCGACACATCTGTATTCTTTTGTTAAAAAAGAACGTCAGGGGAAACCTAGAAAAATATATAAAATTGAAACTGCCAAGGACAAGTTTACAGATATATAGCATTCAAGCACAATATCTTTATTACATGAAGGCATTATCATGTTCATGAACAGCTCTCAGAGTGGACATTAGAACTGGGCCACCATGTACACTGATCGGGGAAATAAGTGTCAGCTGTAAAGAAACGTGAGAGGTCAGATGGTATTCAGTGGAGCAAAACTCACTGAGGGAAAATAGAAGGAAGATGAGACATGACAGGAAGAAAACTGCTGTAAAAGTCTTGTCATGTAGAGCTAAGTCAGAACCCCAAACGGCCATAAGACAAATCTGAAGTTGAATAACAAGAGGGGGTGAAATATCAAATTTTTGCTATATCATTTTAAAGACAGGAGAGTTGTGTCTTTTCAGGCCTCTAAAAACGTATGACAAGGGGTCATGACTCGCGTAAGCATGCCTTCCATTTAAAAAGTTGTGACCCAGTGATGTAGAGTACATCTGAGCTGCTCTGCATGTCTTTGTTCTGGGTGCATGGTGTATTTGTGTGTGAGATTGTGCCATCCACTGACGAAATAGTGAACTGCATGAAAACTAACATGTAGTCTGTCTTCACAAGAGGAAACAAGATCATTTGCTGCCACAGAGAAAAGCTTCACTGTCAAGATGTTCACCTTCCAGTTCTTCACCTATTTCTCCTCCCTGTTCTACGTGGCCTTTTTTCTTGGCAGGTAACAACAAGTGAACCAGCCGATAATTAATTCACATCAATATTCACATTCGACTTTTAGTGGTGTCATATGTAATGTATATCGTTATATCAAAATTCAGCTCTAGACTCCAAACCCATACAACACATTGTCATAACCTAAAGGACCCTAAATTAATGTCCAAATGAAGAAACTCATTGTCCTTAATTATTGACGCCCAATGTCCCGACCTGACTAATAACGTGTTTTTGTAACACTCGTGACAGGATAAATGGCCATCCTGGTGGTTACGTCCGAATTTCAGGGATATGGAGGCTAGAAGAGGTGTGTGACATAAACATGCATCTCATTTAGCAACACTGAATGTCCATTTTTAAGTAAACATTGTGGTTTTACATTTAAATATTGTATCTGATTGCATTTCAAACATGATACTCTCCCCTGTGCAGTGTCATCCCAGTGGATGTCTCACAGATCTGTTCGTCCAAATGGCCATTATAATGATACTCAAGCAAACCATCAGCAATGTGTTTGAGTTCACTGGGCCGTGAGTATAAATCAGATTTGTGATTAAATACTGTATAACACTGTGAAATCCACTTTACTCACAGTGTTTTGAACGCTGTCTTTTGGTTGCATCAGCTGGTTCTGCAGGTGGCTGAAGAGACGAAGAACCCAGAAGCTGCAGAGGAAATGTGCCCACTGCTACCTGAAAGATGACTCAGAGGCCAAACAAGGAGCTGAACTGTGTGATAACTGCAAGCTTCGAGACTGGGTCAGCAACTACCATCTCCATGATGTTGACTCCTTCAGCCTGTTCCATGAGTTCCTAGAGATGGGTGTGTGCTCCGCTGAATGCTTCAACAACAAAAACAGTAGACACTAGACAAACGCTGGACTGGTTTTGGCAAATAATATATTTCTTGCTTTCTCCTTAGTGATCCAGTTCAGCTTTACCACCATATTTGTGGCAGCGTTTCCTCTCGCTCCTCTGCTAGCCCTCATTAATAATGTCATTGAGATACGCCTGGATGCCATTAAAATGGTCACTCTGGAGCGCAGACTGGTTCCCAAGAAAACCAACGACATTGGTGAGCATCACTTTTGACTGAGAATAAAAATGTCGTCTGCCTGTTTATATTGTAGATAACATTCTCCTCACATCAACGTCTCCTTTCCTCAGGCGTGTGGATAGACGTGTTGGAGGCTATTGGTGTCTTAGCTGTCATTGCAAACGGGCTGGTCATCGGTGTATCTTCGGACTTCATCCCTCGATTGGTGTACCGCTACCACTATGGCCCATGTGCCAACGGCACAGTGACGGATATTGAGTGAGAATCCATTTAGAACATGTTTATGATCTGTCATGTGATGTGCAACACTCACTTTACAGTAAATAACTTCTTCTTCTTCTTTTCAAGCTGCATGACTGGATACATCAACAACACTCTCTCAGTTGCACGAATGGATGACCAGAACATAGGCAACGAGTTTTCAGCGAGTCAGATGATCACTCCTAGTGGCTTGAATGTCTCTTACTGCAGGTTTGTTCCCCTTTAATCTTATTTGTGTTCTATGGCTGAAAAGTTATTAGGTCAGGAGTTAGTATGAGGTCAGAAGAAACCAAAGTCAAAACATATAATTTGAGTAACAAGCGCTGACCCTTCTCACAACTAGTGTTAATAACTGCTATTCGCAGTACACTCAGATATCTTGGTAGTATTGTACTGTCATTGTTGCTGTAAGGACAGCAACAATGGTGATAGAAGTGCTTTAAATAAACAAATTCTACGTTCTCCTTAAATGTTACCATCACTGCAACTGGTACCAGAATCATCAACTCTGCGATTGAAAAACGACAGATAGGAGGGATAACATCCGCATTCTGTTGTTTTTCTTCATAGGTATAAAGACTACAGGAGCAATGAGGACTACAGTTTTACCCCACAATTCTGGCTAATTTTAGCTGTGCGTTTTGCCTTTGTCATCCTGTTTGAGGTAAGTCTTTATCATGACCAAATACAAAACCGCCAACCACATCTTCTTACACTGATTTCTTTGAGCAGTTATTTTTGTACAGTAGCACCACATAGGCCACAATGCCATCCCTGTTATCTTTAATGAAACCACATTTTCCCACATAGAAAGGGCGATGATAACACACCCAACATTTTCCTCTCTGCTTGCAGCACGTTGTCGTCATATGCAAGTTTGTTGCAGCCTGGTTTGTGCCGAGCGCTCCCATACAGGTCAAGAATGATAGACTCTTTGATAAACTCAACAGGCTAAAAGAGGAACTCAGGTGAGTCTCAAGTAATATGTGGTTACATTGTTGTGGCAGCCGGTATCCAAAGTGAACCTCAATCTTGCTCATTCGGTTTTGAATTGTTATGCAAATACACTGGCCCGGTATTGGCGCTGATACTGAGCTTATTAGGTGGATCTGGTATCGGCCATGACGAGACCCATTACTGCCAGTTTTAACACACAAAGACACAAGGTGCTCCCGTGATATTTGCGATGATCTCAGGAGCAAGACAGACTCCTTGGTACTTTGAATTTAACGGTACTTAACAGTCATTCTGACCTGTGGAAAATCAGTGCATTTAATACCTTTGAGAAACTTCATCCTGAGCTTGCTATTTAATCCCACTGTATTAGCACTTGCATGTGGCTGTGTTTACTTTAGCGTTTCTAAAGCCAGACTTCATCTCCATGAATTAATTCCAAGAGTATACATTGAAAAAATTAATATTTCACCCAAAATGATACTGGAATTTTCTGAACCCTAATTGCCGAATGGATGATTTATAAATACAAATGTGACATTTGTAGTTTGTAGCTCTAATACATTTTTATTATATATTAACAGATAGGATATATGTTTTTAAGATGTGCTTTACATTGTTGTGCAGCTCTCAGTTTCCTTGACATAGATGCTGCAACTAACCAACCTTTGTTTTTGTTTCTTGCAGGTCATCTGAAGTGTGACCCCATTCAAACACTTAAAGTTTACACATTTTCCCCTGAGCCCAGTGTTGCCTTGTGCATTAAAGTGTCCAGACTATTACAGTGTTGAGTCAGCTTCAAAGCCATTCATCATGTTTCTGAAGAGTTCAGACGGTGGGCTCTCACTCTCTTTTATTGTTTGCATTCAAATGTTAATTGCTGTCTATCTGGATACTCATCTATGAAACGGACTTTGAAGTCAGACTAATCTTTCTTGCACAGTAACTGATTTTACTGACCACGAGATTGTTCTTATTCTATTGTAAGAATGCACTGATAGCTTACTGTTGGATCTCTATATTTGTGAGACGCATGTGAGTGTTTTTATTGAAAGCCTAAAGATAATTTATACTGCTACTGCACATACAGTACCGATTGTGTTTTACGATGTTGCCTTATTGTGTAAAAAAGCGCTGTGATGATTGTCATTACTGCAGACAGAGTCTGAAGGTGTCTTTTGTAAACCAGACACAGGAATGTTTTGCAAAATAATATTTTATATTATTGAATAAAAGAGGAAATCTTTGACCTCATATACTGAAATGTCTTTTGAAAGGTGTGTCAAAGGTGATTTTTTTTGATTTGCCAAATTACAGATTTAAGAGTATAAACATTACGATATTTAAGTAATAGCTACATTTACGTCAGTATTTTCTTCATGTCATCCCTATACATTGTTTATGGCAAATATGGGGATTTAATGACCTGAGGGCATTTTACATTCTATATTAGTCTATTTAAATAGAAGTCACACATTGTGCCTTTTAAGAGCTGATGCTAATATTTCTTAGTCTCAACATCTTTACATTTAAGAATTCTAAGCTAAAAAATATTATAATATATATAATGTATCCACTTGAGATGTATTGAAACAGCATTTTGACCGTCATATATGTAGATACAATGTAAAGAAAATATAGTTCAACAGTATACCAATCTCTCACAATGCACCATTATAAGGGGATTATAAAGTTGTAACTTTATTAATTGTAAATAAAAAATGTAGCATTATAAGGACACTTTTTGGGTTGTCGGGTCGTTGGACGTACTTTCTGGAAAGGGCTGCTGAATATCCATTTATTAACAATCTTTTTACAGTTACAGCTGCAGATTTGATGATAAAACATTTATCTCTCACGTATAAACAGTTGAACCTCAAAATGATGGGTTATTATAAAGTATGTTATATACTGAGTATTACAAAGTGAAAAACTCATGAACCTTTATGAATAAATTAAAAACGTGCAGCCAAAAAGATTGATAACGACCTCGAGATCTACTTATTATTTATTTACCAGTTATACATCCTGTATAAAATGTGCCTCATAAGATACTTTTGAACACTGAAATCAAAACAAACTTTATATTGTATTATATTAGGGAGGCACAAGACGTACTTGTAGATTTTAGTGAGTTTTCCTGTCTCCTCCCAAGATTTTGTGTAGGTGAAAGCCGGTGCGCACGCCACGTGACCACGGGGAGCCAATAGCCAGCAGAGTTTCAGGTATCTCCAGGTGCACTTGATCAACCAGAAGGCTGACGTCTCCGTAGTCATATCGGCTGTAGGCTACTGCTCCGCGCAATGTAATGAAACTGTAATAATCAGTATCTAATAGAGTGATGTAGGTTTACAAAAGACTCTTCACTCGGCTCACTTGTCACCTGAGGAAGGAGGAAGAGAAAGACTGCGGCTCATGGCTCTAATTGTATTCGCTTTTATATTGGTGTTTACCGGGAAATGGGACAAGTCTGTCCTTGCAGAGGGTAAGGGTGTAGAAAATTACATCATTATGCACTTGAATTTACTCATATGTCATAGGTGTACACTTTATTGGTAAGTCCGGTTTTAAATAAACTGCATTTTGTTGATAGCTGTAGTATTCATCATATTGTTTTTGGTATATTTGACCATTAAAAACTGTCACAGTATGGTTTACGGGATGCTGGTCAGTACTCATGTGGTCAGTTTGTACAGGGTCACAGTATCTGTCACGAAGTCACATGCTGTTGCCTTGCAACATGAGCCGGACTTCGGACCCGGATGAGTGTCACTTTGTTTGAGAAACAGTCAAAATAAACAATAAAGCAAATGGGAAGTCAGCGAGGAACCAGAGCGGGCAGTTGTACTGGTTTAGTCATAGTCCTGATTTAGTGCGCATGCGCAGAATATGTTGAGGAACAGGTCTTCTTAAGCACAGAGTGCAAACTGTTGACATCCACATACGGTCGGAAAACTGTTTTCCCAAAAGGAAATGAAGTCACTTATAGGTATTTGTTTGCTGAAGTTATTTGATCACACAACATAGATTCAGTTTCTTATGTCATACTTAAAATTCAATTGAGAGATCAGAGTCTTGTTGGCTTGTTGTGTCCGCAATGTAAAGGCGACTGTGTAAACCCCCTTTCTCTCTATTTGTAGCTCAGTCTTGTGTGGATGAGAGCAGGTTTAATGAGCAGGTGCTCTACGTGGGGCAGCAGGCGCCTCCATATCGGCTGAACTGCCCTCTGGAGCCCCAGAGCTCCCTGCGGCCCCAGCTGACCTGGCAGAAGGACTGTCAGCAGCTCCCTGCTCAGGTAGGGAAGGCCTACCTGGAGTTTGACAAACTCACCTTGCAAGATCAAGGGAATTACACCTGTATGCAACAGAGCAACAGCACAGCCTCCTTCACTGTGCGTCTCATAGTTAAAGGTAAGTATTATTTCCACATGTAATGAAGTCATCTCAAACCTGATACTGTGATTATGTGGCTCTCGCAGTAAGCTAGTATCCCTCCCTGAAGTAAACGTAGACTACACCTGCAAGGACGCGTGTAATTTCAGCATGTCTTCCAGCTGCAGTCTCAGGCTGTACCTGGCAGTGCACATGAAGGCCTCCATTGTCTGGAGCTCCTGCAGTGAACACAGATAACAGTGGTATGACTTTCCACAGAGTCTCAGTGCTCCGAAGCCCCCCAATTTGAACCGAATGGGGGCTCGAACGGACTCCGGATGAATGTGGAATGCACTGTGACACTGAACTGCACTGCTCTCCTCCAATGGGACCCAACAGAAAAGCACTGTGACAGCACGCTGCAGTGGAGTAAAGACGGCCATCCACTCACCAATCACACACATTACACGCAGAATACCTCCTCATGGTGAATTGAAGCTTTTATTAAAATAAAATATCAGTTACATGGCACCTGCATTTAAAATGTATTTCAAAGTGAGTTTTCTGTCCTGCATGTCAGGTCTCCTGTTGCCGGCCAGCTGATGGTAAACAGCCTGCTGGTGATCAACCTCACAGAGCTGGATGCTTTGGGGCTCTACAGCTGCACAGTGAGGAACATTTCCTCTGACTTCAGCCTGCCGTACTCAAGTGAGACAACTAAAGATACCTATATATGCAAGGTTTCTTACATTCTGTCCTGCATCTTGTTTTATATTTTGTAAAAGATTACCCACCCGAAGATGAAAGAGAAACACAAATGTGACAACGAAGATTAGAGAGAACAGTGAAAGGCCAGACTCCATAAATAAAGAGGAGCCGCAGTTATGTACATTATCTGCATCAAAACCATATGAAAGTGTATCGTAGACACGATCAGTGTGCTATGGAGCAGTAGAAAGACAGCCAGCTCCACACACATTGTCAACTGTCACACAGCTATTAATACCACAGACGCACAGATACATGAAATCTGTATCATTTTACAGCGCTTTGGCAGGAAGCCTTGCCCAGCGTGTAATCAGTCAGCCTTGTGATTCACAACACAAATTCTGATTAATGTTACTTCTCCCTGATTTAACTGCACATTGGAAATGTGTACAGTACTAACTGTTGCAATGACCCAGATGTAAAGAATCACTCTTCTGTCAAAATCCATATTCCGTAGTTTAGGGTTATCAATTTCAATCCAAGTGTTGATTGTTTATTCTACGCTTATTTTTGGTCTGCAGACACTTTTGTGTGCTCATACGGCCCCAACCACACATCAGCTGTTATTGCAGCCATCATTCTCCTCCTCCTCCTGGCTGTAGCTGCTGTTGTGTACTCCAGGTGTCACTTGAACATCAAACTCTGGTACAGGAACGCCTACGGAGACTATGAACTTAATGGTGAGGCCTCTGAAGTGACACAAGGTTGCTATAATCATGTATAAGACTGTGCAGTAAGACCGCTGGTATGTTTGTGTCTCCATGTCTTCAGATGGCAAAATATATGACGCCTACATCTCTTATGTGAACAATGAGCATGACAGGAAGTTTGTCAACTTTATTCTCAAACCTCACCTGGAGAATAAAAATGCGCTCAAGGTGCACCTCAATGACAACGATATTCTACCTGGCTCAGGTAAGATTTCTGTCTGTTGGTCTTCATAGGAAGCAAAGGGAGAATGGGAAATAGTCAATCCATTTTTTTAATGCAGTTTCTGTTAGTTTTGATCTTCAAAATCCAGGATTTTCTGATTCTACTTACACTGTCATTACCTGCAATTTGCAGCATGAGTTAGTTTTCTCTCATGAAGATCTTGAGACATTTCTCTAATCAAAACAAATCTCTCAGACTTATACGTTTGCAGATGCAGCTCCAATTTGCATATCGTTTGTGTGACCATTTGTGATGTGTGTGTAAGCACTTTTTGTGAAACAGGCTCTTGGGTAAAACAAATTGTAATATGAAGTTGCCCATTTTTTAACAATGCACAACATTCTTATTTGTCTCCAGAACCTTCTGCAGAGCTGCTAATGAACATAAGCCGCTCTCACCGTTTGATCGTGTTGCTCTCTCATGCTTACCTTGAGCAGGACTGGTGCTCCAATAACTTCAGGTCAGACGAATTTAATGTATAAACGATTCTTTTTCAAACAGCACTTTATATATAAAACGTAGTAAAATGACTGTGGCACCATTACAATACACCACTTGAGGTCAGTGTTGCTGCACTTTAGAGCAGTCTCTCCAGTGTGTCCTATCATACTGTAGCTGTGTGTGTTTTCAGACGGGGCCTTCTGCACTTGTTGGAGTTGTGTCAGCGGCCCATCCTCATCATGTTGGAGGGTCAGTCTAAACGCATGAGGCCTGAGATCAAGCAGCTGCTCAGTGAGCACCAGCACTGCCTCACCATACTCACCTGGAGGCACAACTCTATGGTAAGATCCACAATAATACCCTCTAGTGCTTTCTGAGCAAACAAACGTCAATAACAAACAAAATACAGTATGAGTCATTTAAAACACCAGTGTGTGTCTCTCTGGATTTCAGCCAACTTGCATGGAATGAATATATTATTGTGTACATATGTGCAGAATATCTTTAATGTGTATAGTTAGTGTCTGGACTCGACTTGTGTTTCCATTGAAGCAACATTACACATTCACATTACAGTGAAATAATCCTGTGAAAAGACTTCGCTGAAGATCATTAAAACCAAAATTAGCAACAGAGTTTATCCTTAAATATCAGTTTTTATTAAGATTGAGTATTTATAACTGACAATATCATAAAAAAGTATTATATATAAAAAGTGTGCAATAATAGTTGTCTCTCTGTAGAAATGTGTTTCAATGTAAATGAATAAATATACATATAATTTCAAATTAGAACTGTATGTATATACTATGTACGATGATACATGCACGTAAGGCTTCTGCAGTTGAGAGTTCAGTTGGACTCTTTAATTAATGGCGGAGTGTTCGGTTCCTGTGTTTTCGGTTTCCACAGACTCCTTCCTCAGTCTTCTGGAAGGAGATGGCCTTAGCGGTGCCTCACAGAGTCGTCTTCCGCAGTGAGTCTGCAGGCGACCCTCAGACTGTGCTGCAAGATGACAAGGACCCCATGCTGACCCTCGACTCAGACTACCTTGACTGCCGCTCAGACACGGACCCTGCTGGAGATCTGGGTAAGAACAACAGCCACAGGACCAGATAAGTCCTCCAGTGCTGATGTTTGGTTCACTCTTCACTCTATTTGCATATATGCAAATAAAAGACATATGCATGTTAAAGCTGCGGGACCTTGCATAAATGAATGTGACGTGTGCGACTGTTTGGTTTGTTAATATTGAGGCAAGCACGCTACCGTTTAACAACCGTCTCGTACTGACTCTACTCCAGGGATGTAAATGCTTGTCAGCTGTTTGGTGTTTCATGTACTTTTGTTGCATGTGAATGAGAATATAAAAAGTTACGGCCAATACGCAAGTCTCAACCTGAGAGAGACTCTTGTCTCTTTGACGACACACAGTGTGCATTGAAACTGACGTAGTTTGAGACTAGTTTGAATGTACAAACACAGGTTCATCTACAGTTAATCTTTAACGTCAATACAAGGAAATCATGTCACATGATGAGCTTGCACATATTTTCCATGCCAAGCAGACATGTGAAACAAATGCTTTCAGGAAATAGCTCTGCATTTGCTTACTTGCTGAAAGTTAGATGAATAGATCAATACCAAACTCTGTCCAAAGGTGACAAAATCCACCAATCAGCACCTCTGGAGCTCACTAGCTAACACATAATAGTTTGTTTAATCAGTTCAGATACAGACGTGTATAGACTACAGGTCGTGGTGACTAAAGCATTTTAAAAAGCTACACTTCCTGGACAACAAATAGTCCAGAACCTAACCCCATGTAAAACACAACCTGATGTTTTACAAGAACTATGAGTTAGCTTTACAGATAATGGTGAGTCGATTTTATTATTAAATTAGGTAAAAATCATGATGCAGCCCAAACAGCACAACACTTTAGCAGTGAATAATATATGTACTTGCTTTCATTTGGGACAGATGTTTCACCTTTGCTCTTTCTGCTGCAGGGCTGCGCCTTCCTGTGTACAAGGCTCTGGCCTTTAAAGCTCCTGTCCTCCCTGCTGCTCCCGTCACTGCAGCTGAGCCCAAATCCTCCGTCATCGACGTGTCGGACCTGGGATCACGCAACTATGGAGCCCGCTCAGACTTTTACTACCTGGTCACTGAGGACATGTGATCCACACTCCCCTCACTGCTCCTGATCTCTATACACCTACATGGAGATTAGCATTGCTTTATAGTTATCTAGTAAATGTTTTTCTGTTTCCACTGACCAAAGACCCGATTTTTATTGTTTTTGTTTTTTTATTTTGTTTTTGTTTAGAAATTGTCTGAAATATTTGTGTTAATCAGGGAAAGAAGTAACTTTTGATTTGTCATTTCACTGCCAACATCTCTCATAAAGTCCCCAGCAGAGGGCGGAGTGATTCAGATAAGATGAAGGAATTCTGCTTTTTAATTTTAAAACTGAAAGTACACCTTGTAGGTTCAGGAAAATAAATGTAAGGGAAACATAAAGTCAGATTCGACCAGACCACTGGTATCTTTTTGTATACCAGTCAACTGAAGCAGGACAACGCTCATGACTGAAGAACTCGTAGTTCTTGACATTTCTCTGCAGGTAGACTTCTGTGTGTAATGTAAACAGACTGTTATCATAGCAATCACGCTAATAAAGCAGTTTGACAAAATACCCGGTCATTTCTCTCTGTAGGGGCTGATGATCTTTGTCCTCACGTAATAATGATTACTGTACCTGCAATGAAATAAGAGCCTAAATAAGGGTGCAGCAGGGAACGGCTGGTATTGTTCCTGTCGGAGCAGGAGCAAATATGCAAACAGGGAGTGGCCGACATTTCACCACCTTAGTGCCACTCTATTATAGTCACAGCATACGCTGCAGCGCACACGCATGTGAAATACATAAAAATTACATTTCACTTCCAAATTTGTAACTTTTATTAGCTGAAAAATATCCAGATGATGCATCTGCAAATATACAACAGTGAGAAGCCACACAGAAACACAAGGTCATCATTTATTCCTCAGGACAGGAATAATTATGAATCATAGATTAAGAGATTCGTATGAATTCTTACAAGTTTCATAAAATAGAATGAAAATCTAAAAATCTTTCAATGGGGTCTAAATGTGAAGCGATAGATCTAGCAATAAGACCTCAGTTACAGAACAAATACTGTATCTATCATGAAATCAAAGTTAGGATCTTTTTCACCCCTGGTGAACTCATGGTATTCCAGGACTTTTGTTTGACAAAGCGATTACAATTGTTATTCATCAGCATTTTGTATGAGAAGATTAAAAAAGTTTAAAAAGCACATAACTAGTACAAAAGTCGACTTTAGAGGCATAATCATTATCAACAGATTTCTGAATCAAAGATCCACATTTATATATATATCCTGTGCTTTACATTCAATTATAACTATGTTATAATTTTGACTCATTTATAAACACATATTTCTCCGTCCAAAAGCACGTAAATGCAATATATAAAACATTTGATTTCTGTGTAAAATAAGAAGCAATATTTACAAAAATACACTTTTTGGTGTTTCTGCTATGATTGAGGTGCAACAGTGAGAAGACAAGGCACAAGTGTCCACCATAGTGTCCATCAACAGCTGCTCAACTGGCAGAAACAAAAAGTTTCATCTGAATAAATGTTGCTCTGACAGACAAGACATCCCTGATTCCAAACTAAAACATATAGTGTTCAAACAAAAAGAGTAAATGGTTAAGTTGCACACATTCTGCATGTATCAGAGTCCATCAATAGTCCGGCGTACCAGATCCACATTTCTTGAACTGTCCGTCGAGTGTTAAAAATACACAAGAAGTCCTTTTCCATCACGTAGATCCTCCATTACTTGTGTGTCCAGGTTGTCATCATAAAGTATGGCAGATAAGAACTGAATCTACGCTATCTTTGAACAATATAAAAAGTCTATTTACCCCACAGGCGGCTAGAGTGCAGGCCTGATCACTGTTACAGAAGTGAACTTGTATGGCGTTCATTTTTGTTTTACATCGTCATATCCGTAAAATCTGGTCTTGTAAACCCTTTCTGTAACACAAAGAAACAAAAAAGATAGTGTTATGACAGTGCACAGACATAAAACACATAAAAAGTGTGTTCTTATTCGAACATTAATTAGAATGTACACCACAGAGGTGTAAACAAAAGCTCCCTTGATTTAGAAGTTTTTGTGATTGTACATATTTTTTTGTAACAGTTGGTGGTGCAGATATTTTGGAATTAAATTTAAAAGTGTATGCAAGACAAGTTTTAAGGCGTTTTTGTTGTGCTGTTGAGACTTGTACGTTAAGAAATTGGATGAACACCACACCCTTGGTAGGGGCAAGTCGTGATCTGCAAAAGACAGAAAGCATACAACACCTGCCCAAGACGTGGACACGCCTTTGTGTGTGTGTGTGTGTGTGTGTGTGTTGTAGGAGCAGCAGTGTGAACTGTCAAGAGATATAGGGGTTTTGAACTTGTGCCAAGCAACTGACGAGGGAATTGCGGGAAGAGAGGAATGTCATCCATCAGTCTCGCGCGTGCGCGCGCACACGCACACACACACACACACACACACACACACACACACACACACACACAC